TAAAGTTTCTTGAGATACTTTGTCTAGTTAAGTCCCTGTTTGATACACATTCTTTCAAAATACATTATTTCAAAACTCATTTTCAACCACACATTTTTCAATAAAATAATATTTTCTTTACTTTTTAACCACATATTTCCCATCATATCACTGTTTAAAATACATTCTTTCCTCAAGAATATCCATCAAACACACCCTAAGTTCTTAAATGATTGCAACAACATGACAGCGATGAATTAGCAATGAACATGGAATTTGGAATTTAAGCTTGACTTGTCGTGAATGTTGAAGAGGATACCTAGAACTTTGTAGTCCACAATAATTACCTACCAACGAACCTTGAAGAGACACTTGTAAGAGAAACAGACTGTTAAAAGAGAATATACTTTCCCTTGCAGCATTCTAGTGACCTAAGTGCTGTTTGGTTTAAATTGTGAGCCCACTTCGCTTCTAAATAAGTGGTACCATAGAAAAGCCACAATAATTGCTCATCAAAACAACATATAGAACTTTAAGTAACCATTGGTGGCCCATATTACCATGGAATGAATCACTTAGAAGCCGAGATGGGTACTTCTTATTATGCACATCAAGAACCATGTTCATTTTTAAGATCCCATCGGTGAATAAAATGATAAAATCGAACAGACAGAAACAGATTGAACGGTATCATCACATAGTTCAAGGAAGCATATTCTGGTAACTAATAAGTTTTGGTTCCATTTGTTCCTCCCTCCATCACTCGCTTAATGGACACAATCTCCATACTATTACAAGTTTCATAGACACTTTGAAACGCGAGTTTGACATGGCATATTACAACTATTGTATCATGGCTATGATATGGTGCCCATGTTACTTTTAACAAGTATTAGCGATCGTTACTAAACCCACAAAGCAATTCAGCTAATAAAAATCAATGAGTACTGAAATCATGCCCATTGGAACACAAATATTTTCCTTTTCTAATGATTGCATCAACCTTAACTGGTAAAGTCTAGAATTCAAAAAATTTAATGCATATCAACACTGTAAGTGCATCACCCAGAAGGCACGGCTACAAACAGTACACGACTTAGGCACACAAACAATATCTGAATAATCATCCACGCAGTATAGAGCGTGTCATTAAGTTGCCTTTTTTCTCTTTTCACTTATTAACTGTTACTATGTTATCATTAACGTCAAACGAAGAAGTATATCATTGCTGAAGTGAAAACAATACTCAGAACCAAGGAACCAGAGACAGAATCAGATTCTCTCAGCATTACGCTTTTGTAAATCGTAGCGACTGCTTCTTGATTAAACAATGGGAATAACAAAATATAAACAGCAGGAGCGGTATTAATACATATATTAAGCTTATCTTAACTA